GGTGAGGGAAGGTAAAGAAAAGAAAATAGTGCCTAATTCTCACATAAATTGGATTTAATTTTGACCCCAGTACATTATTTGAACAATAATTTTTAATTCAACTTGTTAATATGTTGTTTAGGATATTGCATCCTCATTTATAAGTGAAATATGTTTGTAATTTCCCTTAATAATAATATATTTTTCCAGTTTGAATATCAGGTATATCTAGATGAAGTAGAATGATTTTCAAGTATTTCATCTTTTTCTGGTGTCTATAAGATTTGGCATGATCTGTTTTTTAAAATTATCTTCTATTTTTATTTATAAATATTAGTTGTCTATTTTTTGAGACTTTGGGGGAAAAAAAAGAACTTAACTGATGACTCCATACTGAACCTCAGAGTCAAAGCATTCTATGATAGACATAATTTTATCTGACAATGTGAATGTTACTTTTTTTTGCATTATTATTATTGCTCAGTATTTCATTGCAGCAATCGTCTGATTTCTTTTCTGAACGTATTTATCTTCATTCATTCTTTACGAGGTTTTGTTTCTAGTCCTTATCTTAAACTTTGTTATTGTTATTAAATTTTAAGCCTTTTTAATTTTTTGAAGGCAAAAAGTAGAAACCAAATAAATACATGTATATGTATAGAGAAAATAAAATATATAAAATATATATGTAAATACAAAAAAAAAATCTCTGAAAAGGACTAGGATTAAGGCAAGGATTTTCTGACTCAAGGGATTGGTCTCAAATCTCTTAGTAACGCATATCCTACTCCCTTTTCTTCTTGCTTTTGCAATATTTTTCAGGAGTCCCTTGGGAACTGGTCTTTTTCATTAGCTTACAGTTATGCTGGTGATTATCTCACCTTCTCTCACAGTTTTGCAGAAGTAGAGGTCTGAGATCACCTAGTATTTTCCTTCGGCTCTCTTTTCTCCATTAAAAAAAAAAAATGATGTAGGAACCAGTTAGAAAATATTTCTATCTATCCTGTGTTTTGGTGGTATTACATATATGTGGGCTGCCAGGGATGCATGTAATAGTATTTTTAGCACACTGAAAAATACTGTATTTTGAGTAAATAATGGTGATTGTCAACTGGGAGTGATTTTTCCCACAAGTGACGTTTGGCAATGCCTGGGGACATTTTTGTTTGCCATAACTGGAAGGGTGCTATTGAAATCTAGTGGGTAGAGGCCAAGTACTGTAAACATCTTACAATGCACAACAGCCACCCACAACTTAGAATTATTAAGCCCAAATTTGAGTGATGCTGCCGTTGAGAAACCCTGGTATACAGAAACCTGCAAAGAGAAGCTGCGTCATAGTATCTTATTGGGATCTCTTTTCTGGTCATCTTATTTGTTAAGGGACTAAATTACACTAATAATTCCTTAAAGATAATTGAGTTCTAGGTAATACACTAAGTTGAAGAGAAATACACATTCATAGACACATGCACTGTGAATTCTAACTCACATGTTCAAAGTGTTTTTTGTTCTCTCATAGTTTGTCTCTTCCAATTGCGTTTGTGATTGCTGCCTGATTTTTTTTACATTTTGAGAAGGCATGAAAGTCTCTTGAAATCTTATTTGAGTTTCAAAAAAAAGCTAGTATATCAGAGTCTTTGCCTTTAGAATCTCATATACCCACATTTCAGGAGAGAAATTTAGTTTTTAGTTCTTAAGGATGCAGTCAGTAGCTTTATTCAATTAGAATTTAATGAGAATATTATGATTATTTGAACATCTATAGGGTTTTTAGACAAAGGATACATTCAGTAGAGTTAACCACCTGGAAAGAGTTATTACCAATAGTGGCCAGAGTACGTGGATAAATCTAAGTAAGGGAAAAACTGAGTAACTCAACTTTGTGATTCTCAGCCCTGATTATATAAGATCTGGAGAGCAATCATATTGTGAGACCTAAAGGAAAATATGATTTGTTGATTCAAGGTTTATCAATAATGAACAGGGCAGGGGTCCTCATCATACAGATTGAGGTAGGTTAAGAATTTAAAATGTCATTAAATTAGGGTAGTCAGTGGTATCCCAGGTCCAGCAGACTTATATTTCATTCTCTGTTATTGGACAAAAGAATTTGCAAACCCATCCTCAACAGACTTCCAGTTTTCTGAAGATTTCTTTTTAAGAAACTAATGATTGTATTCCCCAAAATAATAAGGGTATTTTTTTTTTTGTGGCTTTTGATGTTCTTAATAGGCATAGGGTACCTAATGAAGATTCTATATGTTGACTTTTGAAATAAAATGGTTGAAATTTTTTAAAAAATTCTTTCTTTACCTGTTGTTTTCCTGTCTCCTATAATTAATGAAATGTTTAGCAGAGAGACTATACATTAAAAGCAAAACATTTGGCTGTAGGACAAAAAGATGTATCAGATTGCTAATACATATGTTGGTAGAAAACAGATCTTAAAAAAGTTTTTAAAAACCTATTTACATTAAAGCAACAAAATGCTACTATACACATAGTAGAATGACTAAAACCTAAAACACTGGCAGTACCAAATGCTGACAAGGATGTGGAGCAACAGGAGCTCTCATTCATAATTGGCGGGAATGCAAAATGGCAATGTTACATGTTTTCTAAGATAGTTTGTCAGTTTCTTACCCAGTTAAACAAGTTTGCCATACAGTCCAGGAATTGTGCTCGTAGGTATTTAGCCAAATGAATTGAAAACTTGTTTACACAAAAACCTGCACACAAATGTTTATAGAAGTTTATAATTTATAATAATTGCCAACAATTGGAAGCAAACAAGATGTCCTTCAATAGGTCAATGGATAAACAAACTGTGGTACATCTGTATGATCACGTATTATTCAGTGATGAAAAGAAATGAACTATCAAGCTATGAAAAGACATGGAAGGAACCTAAATGTAAAGAAGCCAGGTTGGAAAAGCTGCATAAAATATGATTCCGACTATGTAACATTCTGGAAAAGGCAAAAATATAAATACAATAAAAAGGTTAGAGATTGCCAGGAGTGCAGGAGCAAGAAGAGGTACAGTGTAGGTAGGGTATTTTAAGAGCAGTAAAGCCATTCTGTATGATATTACAATGGTGGACATATGACATTATCCGTTTACTAAAACTGATAGAACTATATACAACGTGGAGTGAGCCCTAATGTAAACTGTGGACTATAGTTAATAATTACATGCATCAATATTGGTTTATCATTTGTAACAAGTGTACCACACTAATGCAAGATGGTAATTATAGGAAAAAATAGGAGAAACTGTGGGTCAGCTGTGTAGATGGGGATGTGTGTTTGGGACTATGCTTTCTGCACAGTTTTTCTGTAAACCTAAAACTTCTTTTAAAAAGCAGAATTTCTGTCATGCCTCTTTTCAGTCAGAGTTATTGAAACTTAAAAGATTTCTCAGTTCTTTGTAAAAATTAAACATGAAGGAGTGTTTTCAAGTTTTTCTCTGAAAAGACCCTTTTTTCTCTCTCTGACTTGTAATAAATGCTAAAACTATATAAAAATATAATCAATAACTTAGAGGCTTATAGGTAGAGACAAAACCCCCAAATATGTTAAAGAAAAAATAAGGCAAAAGGACAGAATATTGTTAGGATTCTTGTTGCAAACATTAGAAGCCATTCTAGCAAGTGTAAACATAAAAGGAAATTATTAAAGGCTATTAGGTGGCTCACAGAGCCACCTTGGAGAACCAAATTCAAGGCTACCTATATAGCTTGTAATAGTATTTAAATTACTCTACTGGTCTAGTTTCAGGAGGAATCATCTACATCTGAATAATAATTTCATGAATGCTGAGTACAGAACATTTCTCCAAGATTTCCACCCGCTTCTTCTACTATGTACCTTGTCTCCCAACAAAAATTAGCCACCTTCACCAAGAAATAATTGTATACATACATTGGCTGCTTGCGTTTCTCTTTTTCTTAACATAAGCCTCACATGGGAGCATCTGCTTGACAGAGCCTTTTGTTACCACTTTGAGTCTTCATTAGGTACCTAATTTTGTATCTTCATAGCTATTCCTGGACCTTGAATCCGTGTAACTAGGCAATTGCTTTCAGACTCTTAGCCATCTTTTCTTTTTGAGTTTCCCAGCGAATCTCATTGATCAACGTAAAAAGAAAGGAGGGGCTGGTTTATTATTCTTTAATGTGCTAACCTAAGTGTAAAATGTATTCATATTCGTTTGTTCCTCAAAATTCCTCATGTGGAACTTTAAACGTATTTCAATTTTGTCCTCTACTTTCTGTTGTACCTACCACCAGAGCAACTGAATCTGGAGATAAGAATTTTAGGTCTTTTCCCTAACTGCAAAAAATAAACAATTATGGTATGGTCAAGAAAATTATTTATTTGTGGATTCTCACAGCCAATAATGACGAGAGACTATATAGTTAACAACATAAATATCATTTCAAAATAGGATCTCTGAATATGCTGTTTGCCCTAAAAAGTCCAAAAAAGAGTTTTATGTTCCTTTTATTATTTTGTTTGTCCAGCTCAAAGGAAATCAATGCCTTGTATTTTTCTAAGCCTAATACTTTAATATTTTTTTAAAAAGTCTGTGACCAGGCACATATAGACTCAATAATAATTTACAATGTATAATTTATTTTAAAATACAGGGTGTATATATACATACATATATAGGGAAAATGGGAAATTGTACTAAATGTACCTTTATATATAAAACATTACAATATCTAAAAAATATTTCTCTGTTGATATTTAAATATAAAATATATCATATAAAATATAAATTTGTTAATTTTTCTATGTGTGTCAACCTTTGGGATACCCTTTAGTATTATTGAAGC